TATTTGGATCTTGTATTCTTCATATAAGTTGTATATATTTCTTTTATCTTTCCAACAAGACCAAGATCATATAAATCCCATAAGAATAGCTCAAGTTATACCTAAAATATGAATCAATGTTATTGTTGTCGAATTTCTAGCCTTCCCATAGGTTGGGAATCGATTCCATGCACATGGGAATCGATTCCCCAACTAGAAAATTGATTACCATCATGTGGGAACCGATGTCCTCTTCCAGAAAAGGTTGGGAATCGATTTTCTACGTATGGAAATTGATTCCCCCTGCGACAGAAAGCCTATAACGGTTAGTTTTGAGAAAAATCACTATAAATACATACCTTATGACCCTAAAACGATTTGATCACTATTCCTACACATCTTAAGGATGATTTGTGAGCTTCTACACTATCATTTGCATATTCTTTCATATCTTTCAAAGATCAAACATATTTGAGCTCATATCTTGAAAATCCATATACCCATAGTGCTTCAAGTTGTATATTCACACTTTGAGAATGTATATTCATTTCCAAATATTTCTCTTCTTGTATTCTTGAGTTGAAAGGGTTGTGAGACCCATTGTTTGAGAGGTAGCCAAATACCTAAGTAAATTTGAAATGAATTGTAAGGTTGCCAAGTACCCGTAAACTTGGAGATTGCAAGGTACCCAAGAACCCAAATTCTTGGAAGATTTTAAAGGTTTGTTAAGAACCCGTGAAGCTTGACCATTAGTGAAAGAGTTGATCGAGCGGTTTCAGTCCGGACGTAGGTCACAAGTGGTAATGACCGAACCAGGATATATTGTGTTTGCAATTCTCTAAACTCTTTATTTCTAGCACTTTAATTGCTTCTTTGATATCTTGTATGTGCTAGAATAAGTTCTATAATTGTGATATATTATATATTATGGATTGTTTGAATGTATTGATTAGCTTTCCACATATCAAAGTTTGCTTGAAATGATTATTTAGCAACTAGAAGGGGGCTTTTGCGAAAATCTTGTAATATTCAATTCACCCCCCCTCTTGAGTATGAATGTCATATTCCTAACAATTCCTATTTTGATTTGGACGCGCAAATCATCATCTTAAATCCAACTATGGGTGTACATGACATTACAAACATTTTTGCTTAATTAAGAACCAAGATTTCGATTTGACATATTGGAACCAACATAAAACCTTAGTTCTTTTCCTTGAGATATAATGAGGACCATACACAACTGTCTTGGACACACAAAAGGCCATCCAAAGTCTAATTATGGCGTACATGACATTACAATCATTTTTGCCTAATCAAGAACCAAGATTTCAATTTGACATATTAGAACCGACATAAAACCTTAGTTTTTTACCTTGAAATAGGATGAAGACCATCCACAACTGTCTTGGACATGCAAAAGGCCGTCCCAAGTCCAAATATACAAGTACATGACATTGCAATCATGTCAGCATCAATCATGAACCGAGATTTCAAATAAAAAAGAAATTCATAAGCTAACCGATATTGTCTGGGTCAACTTCAAGGTCTATCGAGGAAGGGGTACTCATGTTTAGTGGCATTGGATCAATATCAAAATCACATTCTACGTCAGTATCCGATGAATCACCAAGTGGAATTACACTTTCAGGTTCTACCTCCTTATCACTATCCATATCCAATGAATCATCTTCTTCTAGTTCCCATGATGTGATCTGACATAACACTGGTGGAGGTGCAGATGAGTGGACAAATATGTCTTTGTGACCACAATTCGTTTTGTGCTTATATGCCTCGACTGAATGAGTAAAGAAGACGACTGATCGGAGTCATCTTCAGCATATATCTCAATAATTTTTTTCTCATTCAGGCCAAAATATGCATCGATCAAACACTCCACATCTTCGTTGTCATTGACATCATTACCAAGGTTGCACCCATTATAAGTCTCGTACCTAACTATCAAGCCAAAAACACATTGGTTGCCTTGGAGCCCTAATTTTTTTGAAATCTCCTCTTGAGATCGTTGTATGTAGTGTTATGTTTGATTTGCATTATTTTCCTTCGACTTTTAAAAATTAGACCACTAGGACCTTTAAATTCCTACCATTGTGGTAGACAACTGGAACATATGTTTGAAAACTTAAGCTTATCTTTCCTAGAGATTATGGTTTGAAGATGGGTTTAGAATATTTTTGAACAAAAATTTGAAGATCTAAAGTTTGTGAGAATGATTTGATAAAGGGTAAAGGTTTGAGATGACGGGGTGATAGCTAAAGGTTGGGTTAGAATGAAGATGAAAAATGAGTGAGAATTTATGATAAAAAAAAATGTGGTGGAAGAAAATATGGGCAAAGCCCTTGCTATAAATTGAAATTAGCTCATTATTGTGGATTTATCTATCCAAATTTAGCAAAATAACATAATTATTTTCTCTTTCAATATACTCACAATCTATGAAGCACCGACACTTCAAAAATTCTGACGTGTCGTATCCGACACTCCCCGACACTCCAACACGCTTTGTAGAAATTCAAAAAAAGGTTCAAAGGTTGCGTTGCATTGAGTTTTTAGTTCCACTATTAGATTCGTTGGATTACGGTTACTATTTTATTGAGTTTAATATAAATATTTGGAATATCCTATGTTTCTTTGCAAAATTAATTAATATTATAAGTTTAGTTTTATTTTTTTGTTAAATTATTGAATATTAAATATAATATACGCTACATAAATTAAAAATATTATTTAATATCAAAACATGTTTTAACGTGTCGAAATCTAATATTTTTAAAAATTAACGTGTCGGAGTGTCGTGTCGTGTCACGTGTCCCGTGTCGATATCGGTGCTAGATAGCTCACAACTCAAATACTTCATGATATAGATAAAACCGTTAAAGTACTTAATATCAATTCTACTCCTTCAGCTTTATAAACATGTGAGGCTTTGCTTAGTATTAATGTCTTATGTTCCTCCTCCTCACGTAGCTTCTCCCTTCACCACTCATGGTGGCCACTTACGTGCAAGTCTGTTTCCATGATGATTACTTGAAAACTATGGTCCCAAACGTAAAGCAAATTTCCAAATTATTATATAGCTGGACCCAAAGTTCACAACCTGTTTGTTATATACTTACATTTACATGAGTCCTTCTTCGAAAGCTCCCCATTAAATAAGGGATGATGGTAAGCTTCTAAGCTTTTGATTAACTTACCTATTTGATGGTAAAAGTGAACGCAACAATTAGGGTGGCGATTTGAGTAATTTATAAATATCTTTGAAATGAAGTACGTGACGTTACCATGTCAAATATAAACTCCAGGGTAATTGGAAGCATCCCCCAAGATATTTATTAAAATTAGAGTTTAAACCGAGAAGTTTTATACCTTATCAATTTTATTTTTTATTTTTTATTTTTTTTAATATCTTCACAAGTTTTAAGTTTTAACTCTTTGAATTCGTTATAAGATAAAATCTGAATCCCAACTTAATCATATTTACCACTTTTTATAATATAAAAAAATTAATATCTTTTATATTGTAAGAGATAAAATTATCTCATACACACACGTACAAGTGTATGAGACTCATATTTTTCTTACTCTCTTTTTTTTACATGACCTATATGAATTCCACATACTTTTATATATAGAAGATAAAATTATATATCAATTATTAAAGTAATAGAACTACACTTTCTGAAACCAAATTCTTTAAATTAAATTGAGTATGATTATATTGACAAATTTTATTTTATTTTTATAAACTTACAAACTACATTATATCTGACCGATAATACTCTATTCAAGAATATATTACTGATCAGACATAATATAGTTTGTAAGAATTTATAATTTTTTTTTTTTATAAATATAACATTTTCCAATTAAATTAGCCAAAGTAACCAAATTAACAATGTACTATGTACTGTTATCTTAGTTGACATAAAAAGCTGTTCTAGTATATTCATAGAATATTCGTATCGTATGTCCCAAATGAAAACAACAATCTTATTCTTATATGGCAATAATGAAAGTTAAATAAATAAACAAATTAGTTTCAAAAAATATTTAGCGTCGTTCAAATTAATTATTCAGAAAATAAATATAATTAATATTATATTTTTTACGGACTAAATTAAACATTTATTTTCTTAAAAAGGGTCAAATGGGACATTTGATGTTTCATTGGATGTATGTACATTGATGTGTCTCGCCGAGTCCCAATCAGAACAGCTCAGCAAGTTCCAAACATACAGACATGTGCCAATTTTTTTCTACATTTTACACGCAACTTGTGGGCGTAGACAAGTGCAAGTTGGTTCATTTTCGTGGTTCAAAATCCTTTTTATTTTATTTGTGAAATCCTTAGCCACGTGCACTGATAAATGAAATATATATATATATATATATATATATATATATATAGGTTTTGCATCTATCATTTAACATGACCGCAACAACTTTCCTACACACACAACATTTTGTGGGACCCGCAATTTTTGAAACCAAAAAATAAAATAAAAATTCGACACGCAAAACGAATCTCTATAACATAACACAATCACTTTTCCTACAACATAACTCTTATAAAATCCTATATATATATATATATATATATATATATATATATCTTTTTAAGAGAGAGATAAATATAAAACGATCTTTTTAAGAGAGAGATAAATATAAAACGATGAAATCTATACTTTTATTTTTTTTAGTAAGACTGGTATCTCTTTATTTTTATCTCTATCTTAAAAAAATATAAGATTGTGTCCTTCAAAAATTACACGCAATTTTCATATACATATATATTTATAGAAAAAATGTTTATCCTTTAAAATGACATAATTTTTGTCCACTCTCTCCTCCAATGATCTGTCTCTTTTTCTCATTTAAAATAAAACAAGTTTATATCATTTAAAATAATAATTACAGTTTGACATATTTATATACGTACTCTCACTTATATATACGTATGACTATGTGAGGTTAGCATTTATCACCCTCAGGCAGTCAGGTACAAGATTTTGAGAGAGAAACTTTCTGTGCTGCCTATTAGCAAACGTGGTGGAATTTTTTTGGTTTAAGAGAGAAAGAGAGAGGATCTTATTGAGAGAAAGCACAGAGGGCTTGTCTCAAATTTAATTATCAAGTGTATTATATAAATTAAAGGTTTGGTTCCATTTGGTTAAATTTGTTGTTGTCTGAAATTGGTGTTTGAAGATTAATGTCTCTTTTTGCTGCATATTCCATCTGTAAAGTTGCCAAGGATGCAGCTGGAGTTGCAGGTACTATCTTTCTCTTTTTCTCACTTTCTGGCAATTCTTTTTCTCTTTGTTCTCTGGGATTTTGTTGATGATAGATGAACCAAAAAAAAAAACTCACTTTTCTTTGTTGATGATCACAATTCACAATATTTGCTTGCTTATTTGCAGGGAACATTTTTGCTTTTGGGTTATTTGTATCTCCCATGTAAGTTTCTTTGTGGAATCTGAAGAATAATTGAGCTCAGTAGAAATTGTTGTTTATCTCTCTTCATAATGTAACTCTTGTTCTGTTTTGAATTCTAGACCCACATTTAGGAGAATTATCAGAAATGGGTCAACAGAAATGTTCTCAGGGTTGCCATATATTTATTCACTGATGAACTGCTTGATCTGCATGTGGTATGGCACACCTGTGATATCACCTGATAATTTGTTGGTCACCACTGTTAATTCATTTGGAGCAGTCTTTCAGTTTGTGTACATAATCCTCTTTGTGATGTATGCTGAGAAAGCAAATAAGGTTACCTTTCTGATACTATTTGAAGTTTATTCTTATGATATGATAAACCTCATAAATCATTGGTTATTTTCTAAGCTGTCATAATTTAATCTTGTATTGTATAGGTGAGGATATTTGGATTATTGCTGGCAGTTTTTGGCACATTTGCAATCATATTAATTGGAAGCTTGCAAATAGATGACATTATAATGCGCCGGCTCTTTGTGGGTTTCTTAAGTTGTGCTTCTCTCATTTCAATGTTTGCCTCTCCTTTGTTTATAATTGTAAGTGTGTACTTTCCTACATGTCCATCTGATATGAGTTTGTTTCTATTAGCTATGTGAATTTACTTACATTAACTATGTATATTTCTCAGAAATTGGTCATTCAGACAAAGAGCGTTGAATTTATGCCATTTTGTCTCTCACTTTCTACCTTCCTAATGAGCACCTCTTTCCTTCTTTATGGATTACTAAACGATGATGTCTTCATTTATGTAAGGTTTCTTTCAGTTCGTTCTTTTTTTCTATTTATTCTTTTTAGTTTATAATGTTAATTTTGTTGGCTTATATTTGCAATGTAACATGTGGCTACTTCTTTGCTTGATTTTTTGTAGGTGCCAAATGGGATCGGAACCGTTTTGGGCATGATACAGTTGATATTGTACTTTTATTACCAGAGTAAATCTAGAGAAGACTCCAGAGAACCGTTGATAGTGTCATATGCATGATCAGTTCTGCTGAAAAAATGAAGGTAAAAGCAAATACACAATATTTCTGATTAAGATTTCTGGTCTTTCACAATCTGTGAAGCAGTTCTCTGGAATTGGCCATAGGCATTCTTTTATGAGATCCATGCTCAATGTATGAGGTAGTTTACCTGAGTTGACTGAATTAATATATGGTTTATATAAATGTAGTATTTCTGTTCCAAATAAGAAAAACAATGATGCAGCGTATTCTTTATCCCAATGAATAGTTTTATACTAGATGAAATGTTAGTTGAAGCAAATCCCATTTTGTGTGTGTATCCGTATGTTCTAGATGGCCTTAAACTTTTATGTTCTTTACTTTTCTGTGTGTGGCTTTTCTTTTTCTGGTTTTGCTGCTAAGCTGTATTTAGTAACAAAATGTCATTTAATGGATCATAATAGCAAAAGGGAATGAAGGGTTTCATCCAGTTTGAATTAAAAATTGAAATGGAAATATATTATCATAGTGCATGGACAAAACTGCAATTTTATGAAATGAATGAACATTTCATATTAAAATTAGATCACATGTATATACCGTAAAATCTTAATGTCTGTCGGTTACAACTAACATTTAAAAGGAAACTCCATTAACATAAGTACTACACTAAATCTTTAAGAGTATTTCTCACAGTAACAACTGCTAGTTCCTGCACAAAACAGAATCAAAGTTACAATTACCAATTACTGCTAAATGTGGTCTGAAACAGGTGTTGACAACATTCTAATTTGATTGAATTTATAGGTGCAATTACTGTTGCTTCCTTGAGAGTGACCATAAGTTGAGACAATGAATAACTTCAAATTGTACGTATGTTTATCCATTTATTGGAGAGGTGAACCATGCTTCAAAATGGGATTATGGCAAGATAGGCATATTACACCATTCCTTGAGTTTTTGGTGGCAGTCTAAGCTGGACTTTCTTGCATTGAGGTTATTTCCAAGTTCAAATGTAGACAGATATATATATATATACATCATTCGAGAGACATGTATTATTTATTTAATTCTGATGCTCCATCTTGATTTGACTAGTGATTATCTCACAAATTCCAAGAGTGGATATAAATATCATGCATTGACTTGGTTTGCCTCTGGGTTGGTCACCAAATAGCTATTGGGTCATTGTTTACCATTGTGACATTGTCATTAGTTGCCTTATTGGATGGTGTAAATAGGAAGAGTCAATATATATGCAAAAAGGACCTTCTTAGTGTTCAGTGCAGATCTTGTAACTAAGCTTCATGAGCTCTCTAATTGTATTTTTCTAATATTAGTCCGAACTCCTATGACTGTTCTTTCTCTTCCATTCGATCTTCTCTTCTTATTTATAGATTAAGTTTAAGAGTTTAATTTTTTCTTTTATTTCCTCTTCTCCTTTATTTAATTTTAATTGTAGTGGAAGGGGTTACATTCTTATCTGTAACACCTTATTGGTGCACAACCTTATTTCTCTTGGCTTTATCGGAAAAAGTTGACCACGTGTCCGACACCGTGTCGGATTGTGTCGGACTCGACTCTTCTTATTTTTCCAAGTGTCGGTGCTTCCTCGATCTCACCTTCCAAGGCTTATAAATTAAAAAGTCATATTTTCAATTTGAATTTATTCACTTAATTTTAATTTAATCCTTGCTCATATGTTAATTTTCTCTGTTAATTTGTATTTATTATTTATTATCATCATAACTTTGTAAAATAGCATGAAATTAATGTAAAATATAAAATAAATTTTACATATAAATTTTTTTTAGTTCTTATGTATAATACTCAATTTAATTTGTATAAGTTAATATACTACAACATTAACAAAAAAAATTTATAAAAAAAAAATATGATAAAAGTATATAAAAATAAATGTAACGAATAAAAAAGTTGTTAAACATAGGGTCAATTTAACCCAATTTAAAATTTAAACTGTTTGATCTGCTCTAAGTTACTCTATTTAACATTTTAATTTATGAGAAAAATGTGTGTCCTTATAAATGATACAACTTGTGTCATTTCACTCTCACAAAGAGGTGGAACTCACACCTTTATATTTTTTTTGTCCACTCTCTCTCATCCTTTATTTATCTCTTTCTCTCACATAAAATGATTCAACTTTACATCTTTTAAAATGATACATATTTTTCCCTTAATTTATTAGAGGCGATTCCTTCATGGACTATACTAGTGAATTACTTGTGCGATGCACGGGAAAAAAGAACAAAATCATTGTCGCCGTCGTTGGTTAATCATCGCACCGGTAAATCAACACCTTTATCTAGTTATCAAGCTCTGAATAGTACTATGGTGGAGGTATAAACATGAAGGAACAACAAATAAAAAAGCAAACATGTTACTTGAGAATTATGTGAAATAAAAAAGAATTAACTTTCTATTTTGTGCTATTTTTGAACTTTAAAAAGCTACAACATCCACACGGAACTTATAAATATCAACCACAAACAAATCTGCAACTCATGGACATTAATTGTTATGTAAAACAAATATAGTTATGTACTCAATAATTCATTCTTTTTTTTTTTTAAATAATAATTCATTCTTTAAATATAACCACCAATGAACCTTCTCCTTTGTATTATTATTCAATATGATCTCGTCTTATTGTTTCAACCGTACACAAAATTTGCTACAAAATGAAATCAATTAATATACATGAATAAAATTAAATGTTATGCTGATTGTTCATTTTGTTTAGATGCACTTTTATTTATCACAATATGATTGTTCATTTTATTTAGATGTTTGTTTCTGAAATATTTACAGCAGTAAATCTAATTATCTTAATCATACAAAGACGAGATTGTTAAACAGTAGATATAAGGGGGGGGGGAAGTGTTCGCGGGGGGGGGGGGGGGGGGCAGTGTTCGCGCGTGGGGTGGGCCTACCCTCCGGGTCGAGCTCATTTTGTCACCTTTAATTGTCAACATTTTCTATCAACTTATAATAGATTTTCGTATTTATCCATATAAAAAAATTCTTATACTTACTTCTAGATTACTATTAAAGGTTCTTATATAATATTAGATTATACAGGGTTGACCGTTATTTTTCTCTCGTACCCACACAAAATGAGCAAATTTTATTAATTTTTTATATTAAAAGTCTCACTTTAATATAAATGTGGTAACAAAAATTTTATGACTTTAATGTTTCTACAGTAATTATAGATAAGTTATCTATACTCACTCTCAAAATGTCATTGTTTTGGGTTAAAATATTAAAAAATTATAATTAGAAAGACTACTGTAACCCTGAAATAAATTATAATTACAAAAATATCTTAATTTTCTCTTTAAAACGACGTCATTTTGAATTTAATGTAGATACATCAAAAAAAATGAACCCAAATTTTATAGAGTAAGGATATTGTAACAACCAAGTTGTGTTACTACCATGTTACTACCAATTAATTTCACCGTTAGATCAATTATGTTGATCGAACGGTTATATTTATTTCCATATTTGAATGGTCATAATTCTCCAAATTTAATACTTTATATTTATTTTCATCTTTGTATGGTTATGATTTCCCATATTTAATGCTTTCATTTTAAATATGGAGAATCATGACCATACAAAGATGAAAATAAATATAATATAAATATAATTATTGGATCAACATAATCGATCTAACAGTGAAATTAATTGGTAATAACATGATAATAACACAACTTATTTGTTACAATATCCTTCCCCAATTTTACATAACAAAAAGCAAAAATGTATTTTTCTATTATATATTCCAAGAACCCCTCCTTTTCCTTACTCGGTAGCAAAACCCTTCTTTTTACACGCGGCCACACACACTTTCCCACCACGGCGTCACCGCCGATCTCTTCCTCTCAGCTTACCCTGAAATCTCCAACCGATTGGGGAATACGTTTCGGTCTCCTGGTTCTGCGATGAAGCAGATCTGCTATGTTCTCTGCACCACAAATACATTTTGATCCCTAGAAGCTATGGAGATATCTACTTCACCAACAAGCTCATGTATAAAAGCAAGAAGAGTGAGATCGTGCGTTCATTCCATCGCTCTCCAATGATTCATCCATCTCCATAGGTCTCGGGATCAAAATGTACTTGTAGGGCTTCAAATGTGGTCCTTCATAGCATCCTTCCTAATTTTTCGACTACACTTTTTTTGTGGATCTGATTATCTTGTGTCCAAATTGGAAATAAAATTTGATTTAGTTTTTCTTTGTCATACAGGTTTTAATGCATAAGAGGCTGAGCCTCTTGTTGTTTAATATTTAGTTTGACTTATCTGCAGCAACTATATGAGATTTACTAGTGAAGTTCTTGTTTTACGTAATGTAAGTTTAGATACTCTTGCTTTAATTCACACGAATTCAAAGTGGTTGTTTTATGTGTTTGTTAGATATAATATAAATAAATGATGATTGGCTCATTCATTGTAGATACAAAAAATTTCTAGGAGTATATGACATAAATATCAGTGCCTCATTGCTTTCTCTCAAGCTTCTAAGCATCTCACTGCAATGGTGCTAGAAAATTTTGATGAAATTGAGGGCGCAATCTCCCTTTTCTAGCTCCATAATTTTTTCAGTGTACAGGACTTAATGGGAAAATTGTGATTGGAAATGCAGCAATCTTGGAACGGATGACTATATTTACGGTTTTTTGGCTGGGATATTCAGATATTGACATGGAGAAAGTTAAGGAGCAGATACTCCCTTTTACCCAAAGCGTTCCAGCTTTTGTATGAGAGAATTTTCTGATGTCAACGGTTCCTGAAGATTTTCAGAACACCCAGAGAATGTTTGTGACACAACTGTTAAATGTATTCATATTGTGTGTTATGTGCTTTACTATAGCTAAAATATAAAGTATGCTAGTATGGCATTCTTATTTCTTTTGGTATTCTAGTAGTGATATATTTATAATTAGGATGTTTTTGTGTCTTGTTGCAAATTGCAATGGTGCTTTAACCGGTAGTTGAATTGTTTCTCTAAATGTCCAAACTTGTTCCCTTGCCAACATTTATGCAAGTATGCGCGCAAGTATACGCGACAACAAATAATATAGGATTTTTTGTGAATCCCAGTTATCGTTCCCACAAAGATTTTTTGCGTTTGTTTTGACTTGGAATAAATTTGTAATTGCTAATCAGAATCAAAAATAAAATAAAATAAAATAAAGTCAAATTAAAAGCTACTGCTATTCTAACTCAAGTGCAAGGAAAATATTTTTATGAAGATTTTCTTTTTAAAATAGAACTTTAGTTGGTGAAAGAATCTTTAACTACTGACTGGAAAATTAATTAAATAAAAGACTTCTAAATTTTTTTTTTATGATTTTCTCTTAAGTTTTGAAACAGAAAATTAAATTCTGAGTTAAGCAAAAATACAAAGTGACAAAAATTGATTTTAAAAACTGAGTTTGGAAGCAAGTTGGGTTTCAATTTCCCCTTCCCTCATTTGCTATTAAGTTGCTTTGATAGAAAAAATAGATGTTGCTTTTTTTTTCAACTGTTCCAATTCAACGAAAATATGAATATAACCATTGTTTCCCAACAACGAATTTTTTACTATAAATAACAGATGACACATCCCTGTGTATCTGTTATTACAAGACCTTAAAGCATCATTTCCTTAAGTTACATGGGGGTAACTTCATCACAGGAGCCATACCCATTGAGAGAGATCTCTCAACTTTCCATGTGCTTACAGTGAGGTCTAGTGTGAGTTATTTCCCAATAATCTCACACCACCAGGAGTAGCCTATGTGTGGCCATCACATAATAAACTCAGCATTACAAAGAACACACAGTAAACAAACTGGAAATTAACCTTTAAGCATTAAAACAGCAACTAATAACAAATGACTTCCGGGTACTCTTTCAACCCAACTCTAAGAAAATTAGCTCATCACCAAAGGCTGATGAACATACAAACAACAAGGGTCCATAACAAGACAGAAAATTAAAAAGTACAACTAGGAAAATTAAACAACAGAAGTTATCTTCAACAAATAGCTTTGAAACAGTGCTTAGAAAAATTACAAAATAAAACTTTAAAAAAAATAGAACTGAACTGAAAAACAGTAAAAATAAATCAGAGAGACGAAGGGAAGAAGAGAGGAACCCCTACAATGCTTTTTCTCCTTCCTTTATAGCCGATCCTCCTTCATGCAAAACGGGTCACACCTCAACCCGTACATATGCTCCACGCTCCTCTCAATCGTGCGTTTCCCTTGCACGAGTAGCAAACGCACTCCAAAGGAATCTCCAGCCAGCACTACTAACAACTT